GGGATTGAACTCAGACCCTTGTGCTTGCCAGGGAAGCACTCATTCTACTGAGCCATCTCCCCGGCCCTTATTTGTATTTCTAAAGGGGCTGAAGTTACTGCTTCAACAGCAGAGCACATTTGTTGGGGAGTGATTCCCTTATACCTAATAATAAAACAGAGTTTGGGAGAAACTAGCATCAAGTAATGTTTGTTGAATGAGTGAATGAATGAACACCTGAAGATACAGAAGTAGTGTGATATGATTCTAGCCACTCAGGTACTCACAGATCATGGGAAACACAAAGCTACTCCTGTGGTCATCTGCTAGCTTATTAATCAGTGAATGAATTAATCACTTCTTCAAAGCACTATCTCTTAGCTATCCCTAACATGGGAAGCAAGTTAAATGAAAGAAGTCTCTTTGGGAATTAAGTTTCCAACACATAAAATTTGGAGCACACATTTAAGTCATAGCAGGGTTCTTTCAGGCTTACTTCTCTGATTCAAATCCAGCTGCTACCTCCCTGAGGGGTTTGGGGGAAGTAAAAGGATGGGCTTGATCAGGGAAGACACACGCATCCCTCCCTCTCAAACTTGGCATTCTGCTTGGAGTGGGAGTGAAATGTGTTGTTATCAGATTGGAATTTGAGGGAGCTAATAAATTTTACAAATTGAAGCTTTGATCTTGAAGATCATTTCTACAGGAGCAGATGCTGCTGTCAGGTGAAGGGTTCTATGAGAGTGGGAGGTGGAGAGAGTGTCATGTCCTGGGTGTTTAATGTGTTCAAGAGATTTGATGTACTGTACGTTATTTAATTATCTGGCTGCTCTATAAGGTAGAAACTTTCATTCAATTTTTTTTAATAGTATTGGATATTGAACGTAGGGCCTTTGTATTGAGCTACATCTCCAGCCCTTTTTAAATTTTTTTGAGACATGGGTTTGTAGATGTGAGCCAAACAGCTGTTGAGTAATGCATCTGCAGTACCATTAGGTCATGATTCAATCTTAAGTTTTTGTGCCACAAAATTCATGTTCTTTCAGTGTCCCCAAAGGTATATTTAGTGACCTGGAGCCACTGTTACCTGAGCAATAGTGCCTGATTTTCCTAATGGTACTCTGGTCCTCACTCACTGTCCACAGGGCCTTTGCTGGCTTTATAGACACATGGTAAGAGAATAGCAATAGGGCAGCTGCTTAGCAAATGGAAAATCTGTGGCATCCTGGCCTATGGCTCTGTGGTCTTGGGTGTGGGGAAAAGTCTAGAAGTGCCCACTGTTTGACAGTTCATTCTGACTGGGTGTGGTGGCTCACGCCTGTAATCCCAGTACTTGGAAGGCTGAAGGGGATTGCTAAAATATGAGGCCAGCGTGGGCTAAAAGTGAGTTCAAGGCCAGCCTGAACTATATGGTGAAACCCTGTCTCAGACACACACACACACACACACACACACACACACACACACACACACACACACACCATACCCCTAACCCACATGCAAAGTTGATTTTTAGATTAGAAAAAAAGAAAAGGTGTCAGGTAAATGGCATTTCTTTCTTTATTTTTTAATGGTGTTTCTTTATGTGACTGTATAGTTTATTTCTCCATTCACCTACTGATAGATATTTGAGGTTCCCAGCTTTGGGGCTATTATGAAGTTGCTCTCAATACTAATGTGCAAATCTTTACATAGATACTTTTTTTTTCTCTTGATTAATAGCCTAGAGTGGGTTTGCTGGGTCGAATGATGTGTTAATTCTTTTGCTGTGTAGCTAGTTACTACAGGTAGTATTTAGTGGCCTAAACAATTGTCTCACAGTTCTATAAGTGACAAGTTCAGATAGGTTCAGCCAGGTTCTCCATTAAGGATTTCGCAAGGCTTAAATCAAAGTGTTAGTCAGGCTTGCTGCTTTTTTGGGGAAAGTAGCCTCTTACAGCTCTTTAGTGTCACTCAAGCTAGGCATGGTGGTGCTCCCCTGTAATTCTAGCACTTGGGAGGCAGGAGGATTGCAGCGATTTTGAGGCCATCTTGGACTACATGTGAGTCTTAGGCCAGTCTAAACTTGTGTGATTAATTGGGGCCCATCCAAACAGTTTCCCCATTTCTAAATAACATAATATCATCACAGGGATAACATCTGGGAGCAAAGGTCATGGACTTTCTTAAAATTCTGCCTATCATCTATGGTTTGTGTATGTTTAACATTAGAAGAAATCATGCAAATAGCCAACTTTTATTTATTTATTTATTTTCATGCAAGGTCTTACTATATACAGTTCATGCTGGTTTTGAACTCTCTTTATAGCCCAGGCTGACCTCAAACTCATAGTGATCATCTGCCACAGCCTTTCCAATGCTGGGATTGCAAGTGTTTACTACCATGCCTAGCAAGGAACTATCTGATTGGGCCGGGGAGATGGCTCAGTGGAATAAGCGCTTCCTGGCAAGCGCAGGGGTTTGAGTTCAGTCCCCGGTTCCAACGGAAAAAACCAAACAAACAAAAAAGAGAAACTATTTGATTGTTACCATCCCACTAGCAATATGTAAGAGTTCCAATTTGTCCGCATTCTCACCAACAGTATTTTTAGTGTTTTTTGCTTTGTTTCTCTTCTTGAGTCAGGGTTTCACTATGCAATTCAGGCTGGCCTTGAACTCACTTTGTAGCCCAGGCTAGCCTCGGGCTCCTAGGAATCCTTCTTCAGCTTCTGAGTGCTGGGATTACAGGCATGCACCACCATGTCGGGATTTTACCATTTTTTTAAAAATTGGTTATGCAGATGAGTTTCATTTTGTCAGATTCTTACATGCGTGTAATATACTTTCGTCATTTTTATCCCCTCCATGTCTTTTGAATTTTCACTACTGCTGGGTATATAGTAGTATTTCATGGTAGTTTAAGTTTGTGTTTCTCTGATGACTATGATAATGGATTTTTTCACATGCTTATTAGAGCATAAAATTTTGTTTGATGAAAGGTTCTACTGTTTTTTAAAATGGTTGAGACCTACTGGTTTCGATAAGCTGTAAAGCGTTTCAGTGTCTGTAATCTGTGAATCTCAGTGGGGCCCAGGGTCCATCTCCTTTTTTGAAACAAAACACTGTCTTGAAATAGATTCCTCAGGATAAGCACTGCACTCTATGTGATGAGAGATGGAGGCAACAAATATCTCTGAATCATCTGTGAGGCAACATCCCAAATCTGAAATTCTGAAATCTAAATAAAACCAAATGTGTTTTTTCTTTGTTAACACCAAAACCCATTGGTGTAAAACTCGACAGTAATTTCTATTTTTGTTTTTCAGAAGGACCCTCTCTTGTCCCAGGCCTGCATTGGCTGCTTGGAGGCCTTGCTCGACTTCCTGCATGCTCGGAGCCCAGACATCGGTAGAAATCATCCCCATTCTCTGATGTTCCCATGGGGGGAACCAGCCCCTATCGCTGTATATCAGGTTTCCATCCCCTGTTGTGTGGTTTAGACTTATCGTGTTTAATTCTTTTCACTACACTGAGATGAGGGCATTGAGGTTCAGAGAGATCAGGTGACCTACTCAACCATGGTCCCAATTCTCTTATATAGCAGAGTCCTTCCTGCTGGCTTCCTCCCACCATCCTGAGACCTATTATTTCACTGAGTTGTAATCCTAGGTGGATAGAAGCCCAGGGCAGAGGTCAGCCTGTCCAGTGCCTTGCTGGCAGCTGATCCTCATCAGCCATGGCCCTGTGTCTTTGGAAAAGCAGCATTAACTACCTGGGGACTGGTGTTTCCCACAGCACTCCACGTGGCCTCCCAGCCCTGGCATCGTTTTTTGCTGTCTACTCTCTTGGATGCTGGAGACAAAGCCTTCCTCAGACCTGAGATATTGAGGCTCATGACCCTGGTATGTTTGAAAAGGACAGTCCCATGGTCTGACGGGTGTGAGCTGGATGGGGCTAAGAAGCCAAGGACACCTTGCTTTAGGTAGCGCTAATCCTCCCAGCAGGTAGAGAGGCTAGGTGGGCCTTTACCTACAAGACCCCTGCTCAGGAACTCCTGTGAACACACTCTCCTCACCCCAGGAGATCGCCATACCTTTTATTTTGTGAAACTCTGACCAGGGCCTGCCACTGCACACCTGGTCTGCTAGGTACAGAGAGGGTGCTGAGAGAAGCTCTGCCTCTAAGGCTCCTGCAGTCTGGGAAAGGAGACAGAGATGGACACGAAGGGTTAACTAGAGTGTTCTGAGCAGTAAAGTGAAGGAGATGCTCAGTCTTTGGCAAACAGTGGGTCCGCTGAATAAATATAAAGCAGTGAGTCTATGAATGATAGTGATGTGGGTCCACAGATAAATCTGTGGTTGACAGGGGGACATGGAGAAGTGTGGCCGTTTCTGTGCCTGAAGGTAGTGTTTTAGCTGAGGCCTGAGGGATTAGTAGACAGAGAGAAGAAACCTATTCCAGGTAGTGAAGAGAGAAAAGCAGAACAAGAGCTCACAGTAGCTGGTTATAGAAGCTGCACAGTTCGTGCAGCCAAGAGTGTGTAGCTCAAGGCTGGGGAAGGAGGGAACCAAGGCTGAAGGTCCCTGGGGTGGCCAGCTCTGGGTCTCAGTCTGCCTTGTTTGCTCCTCTCCCTGGGAACACAACCTTATTCCCTGTGCCCTGCTCACCAATGCATAGTGAAAGCAGGGTTCTGTGGGCTTCAGAACAGTGTTTCCAGCTCACTGCTGACCACAGAGGACACAGGAAGTGGCATCTCCAAATTACTGGGTACGTCAGACTTTTCTTCCTGTGCCAGTTTTTGCAGTATAGGAGCAGCAACATCCTCTCCAATGAAGAAGTGGGTCACCTTCTGCAGGACATGGCCTTGACTGACCTGTCTGCCCTCCCGGACACCACACTCCAGGCGCTGCACAGCTTCTTTCAGCAGGTGAGGGGAAAAGGCGTGCCAATCAACCCCTGTGAGGCTTGCCCCTCAAGGTGTGCATGTGGGAGCTGTTGGCATGGCTGGGAGTGCAGGTGGGTGGCAGTTAGAGAGGAGCTGCCTTTCCTGCCCTGTTCTCGCCTCAGGTCCGGAGAGTGGGCCTCCTGGCTGATCACAGTATGGTCCCGACGCTGCAGGCCTCCTTGGAGGGCCTTTCCAGCCTCTCCTCAGCCCAGCCACGCCTGCAGGACATGCTGTATCCTTTTTTGCATGTGGGAGCTTTGGCCTGGGCAAGGTCAGCCAGGCGAGGGAGGCCAGAGGATCATGCTTCTCTCCTCAGTCCACGTGGGAAGAAGGGCTGGTGACAAGCAGGTCCTTTAGAAAGCTGGGGGCTGTAGCAGGATGCAGAGGGCCCTGGCGGTTGCTGAGGTGCTCAGAGACACTGCTGAGTGTGTGGGGGTGCTTCTGGCTCTCCTTTCCCCTTCCATGAAACAGTTGCTATTTCCAGAGCAGCTGCCTCACCAGGTGTTCGGGTCCCAAGTTTAGAAACCATGCCCCTATTTTTAGAAGCATCTCTGCTCTTGTCTGACGTTCTTGCTCTTTGGGGGGTTCCGTCATGGTTGGCTCTTTTTTTCTCTGCAGTTTTCCTCTCATGTTTTGTTACCAGCTGCCTGGGAGGGGTGGCTGTATCCCTGTCCCACATCAGAAACTGAGCCTCAGGACTTGAAGGCCCAGAGATTAAAAGAAGTGAGAATTGGAGACAAAGTCAGGACATAACTGCTGGGAAAAGCATGACAATCACAGCCATTCCTCTGGAGCTATTTATTTCAATGTACAAATGGAATCGGGCACTAAAATGATACAAACCGTTCAGTCTGAACTCATTTTGTCTCCTTGGAGCTGGCTTTTCAGCCAGGTGGATAGTGGATTGTTCCAGCACGAGCTGGATGGATGGGTTCCTTGGGGAGATGAGGGCTGGCTGCCTCAGTTGTACCAAGAGAAAATGGGTCCGGCCGAGCTGCATAGGTTGGGCAGCTGTGATCCAAGTGCTCTGAGTCATCTCACCTCCTCTGGCAGTGGAGAGGTGTAATTCCCAGGGAAGAAAGGTCAAATCCTCAGTTTCCCTTGATAATTGAATCTGTCCCAGTTTCAGCCCTTCATTATCTAAACTAGATCCTCACCTTAGTTGTTTTGTTCTTCCTCCTTTTGGTACTGGGGTTGAACCCAGGGCGCTTGCACTGAGCTATATCCTTAGCCCGCCTTTATTTTGAAACAGTCTCACAAAGTCACTAAATTACCCATACCGGACTAGAACTTGAGATCTTCCTGTCTCAGCCTCCCAGAGTGCTGGGATGACAGTCATGTGCTACCACACCTGTTTTCTTTTTTTATGTATTTAGTACAGGGTCTACAGGGTCTCACTACACAGATTGGACTCGTAGTGATCCTCCTCTTTTCAGCCTCCCAAGCACTCGGATTACAGGCACCATCATGCCCAGTCTCACACCTGTTTTCTTTTTCTTTTTTGGCAGAACCAGGAGTTGAACTCAGGCTCTTGTGCTTGCCAGGCTCACACCTGTTTCCTAACAGCTCGTGTTTACGCCCGGGTGGGCAGTTCCTATTTCATCTGTCCCGTACTTGGTGCTGGTGCTCACGCTGCATTCCACACCTCTGCCAGCTCCTTCTCCAAGTGCAGCCAACAGGCCCTCTTACCCCTTTTGCTCCTGTGGAGAGTTTGCTGGGCCCCTAAGTGACTACACCACCCTTGGTGGACTGGAAGGGATGCTCCTACTCCCTAAGCGGGCTCTGCTAGTTCCGTTTTAAGAAAGAAAAAGGAGCTACTCATTACCCAGTAAACTCATGCTGCGAACTGCAGTCAATAAAACACGGTCTAGGTGAGCTCCTGGAACGTCTCCCCAGATGGGCAGAGGCCCCACTTGCGGTTTAACTTCCTCCAAGCCACGCTTATCCAGAACCACACCCCGGTCTCACCCCCTTCCCTCCCCTCTTCGTGAGCCACTACTCGGGGTGGGTCGGACACTGGGGGGCTGTATTGAAGAAGAGCCGACAGCTTCCACTACTAGCTTGGGCGTTCCGAGGGTGGGGCTGAACGGCAGGGGCGTTACCGGAAGTGAGGTCACCGGAGCGCAGAGGTCGCGGCCCGCACTCATTGGACGAGAGCGGGGAGGTGGGCGGGGCAGCATTCCTTCTCTAAGCGCGGCTCGCCAGGTGCTTCTGAGTTCAGCTCCCTTTGGACCCTCAAGCTAAGGTGTACACCAAGGCGGTCTCCGCCTGTCCTTTCCTGCACCACCTGTCCTGGTACGTGATGGCGCGATCGCCGGGCCGAAGGCTCCTGGGGAAGAGCGTACGAGTGTCGAGGGCCCCCGAACTCATGCAGCATGTGGGGAGGGAGTTACGGGACCGGAACCCCATTTTCTTTTGTAAAGTCTCCCTCTTGTCCTCCCGGAGGCCCCAAGGCCCGCGACCCTCACCAGCAGGGCACTTCTTTTTTTTCGGAGGAATTGAACTCAGGCCCTTGCGCTTGCCAGGCAAGCACTTATTCTACTGAGCTATCTCCCCGGCCCCAGCAGGGCACTTCTACAGAATGGATTCAGAGTTGCTTGCGGAACGTGCAAGAGCTCGAGAGTCCCGGGAAAGGCACGTGATTGAGTGGCGGGGTGGGGGGAGCGTAACAGTAGAGAAAGCCCCGAGTTACCTGCACACCACCCCCTGCAGTCTGTTTCTTCGTCTGTCTTTCCTATTTCTACCCCACTTCAGTTGTTTCCAGCTGTTTGGTACCGTCAAACTTTGCTATGGCCTGGTTCTGGTTCGCTTGTGTCCGGACTGTGGCGGTGGAAGATGGAGGGCTTCTCGGTGAACTTGGATACCTTCTCTAGGATTTAGTTGTTCCATTGACGTGGGGTGAGGGCAGCGGGAGTTAGGATATCTGCAGGCCACTCACTGCCTAACTAGCAATCACTGTCCCCCTCCACCAGGTCAGATGTTCTGGTAGGTCAGTGGCCAGTTGTGATCTGAGGTGGCATATGCTAATTTTAAAAAGCAGCCTAGCATTCCAGAGATTCAGGGTTCAATCCTCATTACTGAGGGGAAAAATAGACAGGAGACAGGACACTGGTCTGAGAGTCAGACACTTTTGGTTCAGCCTGGGAATAGCTGTGTGACTTTGGACAGTTACCTCACTGTTATATGCCATAAGTTTCACAGTCATAAAATCGGGTAGCTGGCGTCTGATTATAAAGCCTCCCTGACCTCTTATTTATTGTTGCACCTGACAGAGTCCCTGTCATCTTGGTTTGTTTGTTTTATAGTTCGTTATTTCTTCCCTATTAGGGACATCAGTACCATGAATGCAGGGATTTGGGGTTGTCCTTTTATTGCTGTAGTCCTGTTGCCTAGAATGTCATAGATACTCAATAATTGTGGGATGGCTCGGCTTTGCTGTAATCCCAGAACTCTGGAAGGAGCATCTCAGTTCCAAACCAGCCAGGGCAACTTAGTTACTTGCTTAGAGCTTTTCTAAAAATGAGAAAGCATTGGGTATATACTTCAGTATTAAGATCTTGGGTTCAATCACCAGTACTGGGAAAAAAAATTGTGGGATTTTTTTTTTTTTTTTAACCTAACTAGGAACAGGTTGCACATGGTACCTGCATTTTTTTAAATAGTATGTAGTGGCCCTCTTACATCAAGACTCTCTTCTTCTCTATTCACCCCATTTCCCTTCTTTCTGAAGACAAATCAGGGGAGAAGGGAAACCACAGAAGTTTCGTATCCTCTCTTACTGACCTTGTGAGGCTGGGGGAGGGGATCAAAAGGGAGTTCTATTGACCAGGCTTCACCTAGGTGACGGTGCCTCATCAAGACCACTTCTTGCATCAGGAAGGTGAGGAAGCTGAGGCTTAGAGAGGAAGTGTGATTGGCTTAGGGTCATGCAGGGCTTTAATCTAGTCCCCTAAACTCTACTCTGTACTGTAAGCATCCCTGTGTTGCTAACATTTATCTTCTCTCCATCCAACCATCCTGTTGGGCTTTGTTGTGTGCCCCCTAGTCATAGCCCTAGACTAGGTCTGGTTCTTCAGGGCTTCCCCAAATTGGTTTCTTGGCATTTAGAGGCTGTGCTATGTTAAAAGGAGTTTCTGCTCACTATACTTTCTACTTTATGTAACACCAACGTCTGGGTTTCAGTTCTTTTCCTTAGGTTATCCCTTTCGCTCCAGGGTCTTGGATATGGACCTCCTTCAGTTCCTGGCCTTCCTCTTTGTACTGTTCCTGTCAGGAAGAGGGACCACAGATACCCCGAGGGACCCAAGCCTGCAGATTTGTATCTTTTGGGATTTGGGGTAGTGTTAATGTACTGGGTCTGAGGGGGTCAGTAAATGAGTTCTCACTATACCCGCTTCCCTGTAGGGGATTCCAAGAATGAGCAGACCCAGTTTGCAGAACAAGGGAGGGAAGCCGGACTAGGGCAGGCAGTTCTCTTCAGAGCCTATTTCTCCATATATTAAATGGAGAAGGCCAAGCACATCTCTCAGAGCTGCAAAGGCTCAGTGAGGACTGTACCTGGCTTAAGTACCATGTGGGTAAGACCTCAGGCAAGTTCTAGGAACACTGGATTACTGGCTCATTTTGATCCTGATGTTCTGGGCCAGGCCTCTGACATAAAGATTCATCAGGACTAGTTGTTCTGCAGCATCTACAGGCTTGGGGGAGAAAGATTTCAAACAGGTGGTCGTTGTACTCAGTGATCATTGCTCTCATGGGTGTGGGAGGCATGGGGCAAACACTGTGTCAGCTCTTTGAGAGAACAGAAGCGTAGAGGGCATCTCAGCAGAGGCTGTAGTATGAACAGAGTGGTAGAGTTCTAGAAAAATAAATAATTGTCAGAGATGGCAGGAAGGCCACGTGAAAGGGAAGGCAGAAGCCAGGACCTAGAGAGTTGGGTTCAGGCCACTGGGTGTGGAGTCCTTAGAAAACTGGGTGGGTGATACATTGCTGGGCCCATATACTTCTCAGTTTGTTCCCCAGCCCATGGCTTCCAAGCCATAGGTATTCATGGTTTTTAGAGAACCTACTGCTGAAGAATAGGGCCACTAGATGCCAGACAGAGTTTGGTTCCAGTCTCTTAACGCAATGCTGCCCAGACAAGAAGCTGTTTGAGGTGAAGCGGCGGGAGCAGCTGTCAGCTCTGAAGAACCTGGCACAGCTGAATGATGTCCACCAACAATACAAGATCCTCGATGTCATGCTCAAAGGGCTCTTTAAGGTGTGTGGGTGCAGGAAGCAGCTCACTGCAAGCTCAGTCTTTGATCTAGGCAATGACAGATGAGTAAGAGTTCCCTAAAGGGATGGCGTTCAGTGAGGGCAGATCTACATGCACAGGAGTTGAAATGGGTTCAAGTAAATGGGGCTGGAACCAGGTTGTAAAGGACTCTATAAAGCCACTGACCTCATGTGGGGTGCTCGTAGGTGCTGGAGGACTCCCGGACAGTGCTCCTTGCTGCCAATGTGCTTCCAGATGGGCCATTCCCCCAGGACGAGAAGCTGAAGGATGGTATGGTCTCCCCAACCCACCTTTTCTCCTCCTGCCTTTCCATCTTGGTCCTTTCTAGCTGGTCTTTTCCTCTTGTTCTTGTTACTCTTTTTATCCTGAGAAGGATCCTCTTACGGCAACTTCTAGGTGGTTTTATGAGGCAAATGAGTGCTGAGTCTGTTCTTCAAGCATTTCTGGCCTCCAGAGCCAGTTTCTCTTCACCTGACAAATAATCCTTTGGGCTTGAGGCAGGGAGCCAGGGAGGAGCCCCTGCCCACCACCATTCCAGGGACTAGGCCAGGTCAGTGGGTTACCACTCTGACCCTTGTGGAAAGAAGGCAGGAATTGTTCCCATTTATAAGAGAGAAGGCCAAGACCTGCCAAAGCACTTGAGCCAGGAATTATAATTACCATGTTCTTTGGATTGCAGTAAATGCCGCAACCCTCTTAAATATTTTTTTAGAGAAATTGAGAAAAATATATAAGTAAGGTAAAAGGACATTATATGTTTCTGTTCAGTAATGATAATCCCTTTCCCCATTAACTGGTTATATTTTAATAACATTTCTTAGATTCTACTGAGTGAGGCTGAAAATAGCTCTTGCATGTTAGTTAAATGGTGGGCAACTTGCAAATGTTATTTCTAATTTCCAGTGTAACTGTTTCCTCCATTTTCCAATTGGAATACCTTGCCTTGGCGTATCCTTCTTCTTTTTTTTTAACACTTAAAAAAGTGTTTCCTTTTTATTTAGACATAAAACACTTTCATAGCATGCAGGTTAACTTAAAAGTATTACATGGGTTCTCCCCAAATGAGTTATCTGTGACTGTGTTTTTATGCTGTAAAAATAAACCAACATATTCACAGGCAGACTCAGGCTCTACTGTCATCTCATGTCAAATTGAGAGTTACCAAAAAATAGTTATCCACAATAGTTTCCTTAAGCAAATAATTTAATTAATTGATCACCTTGAATAAGTATTATTTTTGTTTCATTGAATTTCTCTTCTGAACTATTTATCAATACCTGAAAGGATTTTTTTTTTTTTTGGTGCTGGGTATTGAACTTGGGACCTTGCGCTTGCCAGGCAGACATTTATACCTCTGAGCTATCTCCCTGGCCCCTGAAGGAATGTTAATATATTCAGTCCAAAAAAGATACTGCAAATTGAAGTAAGTGTCAGTATTCTAGATGATCAAATATTTCCATTTATAAGAATAAATGCTGTGTTTAGTGACCTACAATAGCAAAAAGAGCAGTTCACTAAAAACAAATTTATGAAATTTTTGGTGTACTTTATGAAAGTTTGAAATTATAAATAGAAAAGAGGGGCTGGTGAGATGGCTCAGTGGTCTAAAGCACCTACTTAGAACAAGCTCAGCAAAGCACAGGGACCGCGGTTCAATCCCCCAGCACCACATGCCAGCCAGCCCCGCCCCCTGGTGGGCTGAGCTGGCCACACACACACACACACACACAAATAAATAAATAGAAAAGAATCGTTAAGATATTTAAAAAACTTAACATCATGTATTCTGAACCACATGCTGGTTACAGTTCCTTGTTTGATACGTAACCCATGATACATCTTACAACTACAAAATCAGGGCCAGGGAGATGGCTCAGTGGAATAAGCGCTTCCCTGGCAAACGCAAGGGCCTGAGTTCAATCCCCTGAGTTCAATCCCTGGTTCCAAAAAAAAAAAAAAAAAAACCTACAAAATCAGAGAAGAGGAAAACAGAATCCGTTCCTTTGTGAGTATTGCCAAAGAAACAAGTCTTCATTTAGAAACAAAATAGAAATGTCTGTGTGGATGTAGTCAAATGTCCCTGCTTTTAGAAAGCTGTTATAGAGAGGCTGTCGTGCTTTCCTTTTCACCTCTGTTACTTATATCTTGCTGCACCACAGTGTCATCCCAACTCTTGGAGCTTTCTGTTTTTAGTGTCCTAAAGGCTGCAGACTGCAACAGCAAGAATTTTTGATTATTAAAAGAATAAATTTGTCTTTTAAAAAATTGTTATAAAAGTGGGGCTGGAGAGATGGCTCAGTGGTCTAAAGCACCTACTTGGAACAAGCTTGGCAAAGCACAGGGACTGAGGTTCAATCCCCAGCACCACAAGCCAGCCAGCCCTCCCCCTGGTGGGCTGAGCTGGCCACACACACACACACACACACACACACAAAATGAATAAATAAATAAAAATTTAAAAAAAAAAGTGGAAATTACAATAGTTAAAGAAATAAAAAAGCTAATTATGAACCAAGTCTTCTGACTATGGCTCAATTTTTTTTTTTTTGTATTAGGAATTGAACTCAGGACCTTGTACTTGCCAGGTAGGCACTTGTGCCACTGAGTTATATCCCCAGCTGTGGCTCAAAATTTAATAATACGTATATTTGTGTATAGAACTTTTTCAAAAAGTTCTTTTTTTTTTCTGTATTTTTAGGGAAGGGTCTACAGGGTGTTCAGGGTCTCACTACTAGATTGGACTCATAGTTACTCTCCTACAGCCTCCCTAATTGCTGGGATTGCAGGCGCATGCCACCACTTCCAGTCTCCATCGCCATCTCAGCGTGCTCGAACCCCTGGCCCCTGCGCCCACTTGTGGGTGCTTTAATCCACTGAGCTATTTTGGCCAGCCCTTCAAAAAGTGAATTCTGCCAGTCAGATCCTAACACAGAACTTTCCAAGTCTCTGAATTGACTGAACAACCTTATAAACCCATTCTCTCCAAATTTCTGTTATAGATAGATTTAGTCACCCTCATGACTGATGAAACACATGTTGAAATGGTTTTCTCTATTGTTTTTATAGTTGTTGAAAATAAACTGCTGTAGTTTAGTCATTGGAGGAAGAAGTGGCAAAATAGGCACACATAGTACTAATTGCAAAATCATGAGTGATGGCCAACCATATGATTTATTGGAGGATTAGTAACTTACAAACCATCTATTTCTGTACTGAACAATAAAAATTACAGTGTATGATTTAGTGTAGCAAGTTTAAAACACCTCAAAACGTACCTACATATTTTTAACTTTACTGTTACATCTGTCCTGTTTCTTCATAGCCTATAAATTTATATTAACCGGTATAGTATCTTAACAATTTAAAATTATGTTTAATTCCATCCTATATTAATTTTACTGTATTAGGTTTTTTCTTCTTAACCAAACTGACTTCTCAGTTCCTCAAGGTGCAAAATTATTGTGAAGCCCAGGAATGCCTGCTCTAAGTGTCTCAGACCCAACATGCCGCATTTCTGGGATCTGCTTACCACCCTGGGATTCTTGGCCAGTGCTGAGAAGGGCTGCATGCGGCCTGTCTGCCTCTGGACTGGGTCTTCGTGCTCCCCAGGGCCTGGATGGCTTGCTTCTGGTGGACACATTCACTATCCTCTGTCTAAACTGACCTTTTTGAGCAGAAGGATAATAGGGGAAAAACTGGCAAAATTTAAGTAATATCTGTAGCTTAATTAATAGTTCTATTACTGTTAACATCCTGGTTCAGGCAGTTATATAAGATTGTAATAGGAGTCAAGTACAGAATTTTGTATATTATTATTATTATTATTATTATTATTTATTTTTACATTTATTTAGTGTGTGTATGTGTGTGTGTGTGTGTGTGTGTGGCCAGCTAAGCCCACCAGGGGGCAGGGCTGCCTGGCATGTGGTGCTGGGGGATCGAACCACGGTCCCTGTGCTTTGCCAAGCTTGTTCCAAGTAGGTGCTTTAGACCACTGAGCCATCTCTCCAGCCCATTTTGTATCATATTATGTAAGTTTAGAATAATTTCGAAATAAAAATTTAAGAAGCATTTACCGTAAAATTAAATGGGAAAAGTATTAAAGTGAAAAAAACCTTCAATCCTAATCTGTTCACTGTTCTTCCTAACAGAACTGACCCCTCACAGACACTGTAGTTATGTTAACACCAAAGACCATCTGCATATGTACTATACTGGGGGTTGCAGCTCAGGAAAATCTCATGAGGCAGCAGTCTCTGCATACAACTTAACCCACCTCCTTGGTCCCCACAGCAAACAAGTCTTCTAGGCAGTGAGATCTCTTTGGACAGACAGACCTGGCTTTGCAGCCCAGATTTAACACTAGCTGCTGAGCCTTATTTCCCCATCTGTAAAATGGGTAAAATGGGATCAGCAGCCACATTTTCCCTGTAAAGGCGGTTTTAGGCCACGGAAATAGTTCAGCAGTCTAAGCGCCTGCCTAGGCAAGTGCAAGGGTTTGATCCCCTGCACTGTACCTGGGTTTGATCCCCAGTATTGCATGCTGTGCCAGCCCTGCCCTGGGCGTGCTGAGCTGGCCACCGAGCTGGCCTCCCAGGCTGGGAAGACTGACAACAGGAGAATCACTATTTTTTTTTAATTTTTTTTATTTTTATTTTTATTTATTTGAGAGAGAGAGAGAGAGAGAGAGAGGGGTGTGTGTGTGTGTGTGTGTGGCCAGCTCAGCCCACCAGGGGGCGGGGCTGGCTGGCATGTGGTGCTGGGGGATTGAACCGCGGTCCCTGATGCCTTGCCAAGCTTGTTCTAAGTAGGTGCTTTAGACCACTGAGCCATCTCTCCAGCCCGAGAATCACTATTGAGTCTAAGCTGTATAGTGAGACCCTGTACCAAATACATACAAATAAATAAATAAATAAAGGTTATTATACAGATTTAGTAGTGAACGGAGAACACAAGGCACCAGCAGACCATGCACATACAGTGGGCACCCTGCAGTCATCAGTGGGTGCCATTTCCCTCTGATCATGTTTGGTGGGTTCCTCCATTCTCAGGAGGATTCCTGGAACCAATCAGGTGGGCAGCAGGAAAGAGGACAGCTGCCTGGGCTACTCACTACCATCCTTTTGTAGCTTTCTCCCATGTGGTGGAGAACACGGCCTTCTTCGGGGATGTGGTGCTGCGCTTTCCGAGGATTGTGCACCACTACTTTGACCACAACTCCAACTGGAACCTCCTCATCCGCTGGGGCATCAGCTTCTGTAACCAGACGGGCGTCTTCGACCAGGGGCCCCACTCGCCCATCCTCAGCCTGGTAAGGACTGGGGAAGAGGAGGTCTGGAGCCCTCAGTGTGGACCAGGAGCCTCACGTCTGCCTGCAGTTGGGCCCACGTGTCAGTGCTTGCCCATTTTCAGTGATAAGTTTCAGAGCACCTTCAGCTATGGAGATCCTGTGTATGGGACTTCTGTGTTGACCAGGGAGGGTCCTGAGTCCCAGCTTGGAGGCAGTGGCTCCCTGGTGAACAGGAAGCAGAGACAGAGAATGACTAGTTTTTCTTCATCTGCAGATGGCCCAGGAGCTGGGGATCAGTGAGAAAGACTCCGACTTCCAGAACCCATTTCAAACAGACCGTACAGAGGTGAGCTGCTGGGGCCCATGTCTGTGTCTGCTTTTCCCTGCAGGAATGCTCAGGACCATGATGGACTGTTTCCCAACAGTTTATCAAAGACTTGTATATTTTTATTTAACTCAAACTTTCGCATAAATATGCTATTCAGTCCAGTCTAATTAATCTTAACCAGTAGAGGCCATGACCAAATCCATTAATGTGTTGTATACTTTATTTATTAGGGCTATTTTTTTTTTTTTTTTTTTAGTGAAGGGTCTACAGATTGTTCAGGGTCTCATTACTAGATCGGACTTGTACTGTTCCGCCTGTTTACAGCCTCCCAAGAGCTGGGATTACAGGCGTGCGCCCCACGCCCAGTCTCAGTTGCCCTCTCATCATGCCCCAGGGGTAGGGCCAGCACAGCAGGCCCGGGTATCAAACCCCTGGCCCCTGTGCCTGCTTGCATGTGCTTTAATCTGCTGAGCTATTTGGCTGGCCCTATTAGGGCTACTATTGTTCGCTGTATTCTGAATAGCAGGATGAGGTCAGTCTACAGTAGTGACCTTAATGTCTTTTAGGCTCCCCTCCTGAGCCAACTGTCAAGCCCAATCTAGTATCTAGTACAACCTGTGTGAGAGAATCTAGAATCTTCAGTCTTCCCTGAATTTTGTTGTTAATAGTTACAAGGAACTGTCTCTGGCCCCAAAGCAACCTTTCCATGGCCTCTTCTCTCTCACTTTGAATCACCAGTACATTGTTTGGTCAAACCCCAGGGGCAGTGTCTCCGTTTAACTTCAATAGCCCTACTTGGTGTAATCTGAGGCTGCTCAGACACCAGGAAAAGCAGGCAAGTTGTATCTGTCCGATTGAAACAGGGTGTGCTGTCTGCTGTGTCTGTGCGGAGTAGCTTCCGGAGCTGCCTTTGAGGGTATCAGCCACGTGAGTTCTTCCATCACATCACCCAGCAGATGGCCAGACTGTCAGTGGCAGCTGTCACTGAGCTCCGGCAGACCCTAGGATTGTTTTGCCAGGTGGCAGTGCTGGATCTAAGGCACAATGAGAGCATTAATTGTTTCCTGTACCTTCTGGAGTCCAAGGCATTCCCTCCATGGGTGCTGGGATTATTGCTGTAGAATCTGTGTATCCCATCCCAGTAGGTGGGTAGTGACACTTTTCTCCAGTCCTCCCTGCCTCTTGCAGGGATCCTTCCTTCGGATGGGTCAGGTGTGAGTGGGACAAGGGTACTTTACAGATTTATACAGACCTGTTAGTATCTCTCATCTTCGCCCTCATTGACCACTGCAGGGCACTTGGCAAGCAGTAGTCTGAACCAAGTGGTCGTAATACTATTGATCTCAGGCCATCCCAACCCAAGGCTCAGATAGTCAAAACAGAAATACAGTCTTCTGCCCTGTGCCCATCCGTGGCAGGTATGTTGCCGTGTCTAGAGCAGTGATGCGTTTAGGTGACAGTGGTAGTGATCTAGGTGGCATCGAGATTGGCTAGTTTGATTCTAGTCAGTTTCATCAGAGAATGGACTTTCCAGTGGGGCATCCAACAAGTCACCCAAGCCAGGTGGGATGGCATATAACTACTCCGAGCACTCAGGAGGCTGAGGCAGGAAGTGCGCTGAGAGTTTTAGGCCAGCCTGGGCTAGATGGTGACTTCTAGGCCAGCCCGAATTACATTTAGAGACCCCATCTCAAAACAAAACAAAACAAAACAAAACAAAACAAAAACAAAACTAAAAACAGCAAATAAGTGTCCCAGACTTAATCTAGTTTGTGACTACAAGATGCTCCTACAGTATGTGGCCCAGAAGAATGGGTGCCCTTGTTCTGCCCTTCTTTAGTTTTCTGAGTGGCAGACCAAATGGCTAAGACATTGCTAACAGTAAGAATATAATGTGTCTCATTGCTAGGAATGTCAGCTAAGGCAAGGGTGGCAGCTTTTAACTCAGATCCCTGTCTGACTGGCCCTTATGGCAGTTAGTGTTTCAGTATTGTCCCAGCACTGGAAGGCTGCTGCTGCCTGTAGACACTTTTGTCTCAGGTTCTCAAAACCACCCCCAGGGCTGGTTCTTCTAAAAAGGAGACACCAGATTTAACAGATAGCTGTATTTGTGGTTGGGCTGACGCTCTAGCAGAATTCACAGTACTCAACATAGAGCCATGCACCTGGCTGTGATTTACTATAGAAAAAAAGAGTGCAAAGCAAGATCAGCAAAGGGAAAAGGCATGTGGGACAAGTTCCAGGGAAGCCAGCTTCCAGAGTCCTCTCCTAGTAGCCTGTCACACACAATAGGCTTAATTCTCCCATCAGCAGGTTGTAACAACACATGTAAAATGTTATCTACCAGGGAAGCTCATTAGAGACCTGTGCCCAGTGCTATATTGGGAGCTAGTTATACGGGCATTCTTTGCCTGACTTGTCCCCAAATTTCAGACTCCTGGGAAGAAAGCAGGTGTTAAGCATAAACCATATTATTTTCACAGTTCAGCCACAGTGAACCACTCTGATTGTGGAGCTGAGGGTGGGTGCTCCCAGAATGTTAGTTTCCAGTCACCAGGCAGCAGCAGTAAGTTCTGCATTTTTGTGCAACAACTTAGATTTCACCTTACTTGGGCCACAGTGGACCAGTATCGAGGGCTCTGTTACCCCCAGTGCATTTGCTTTGTGTGGTAGAGTGGTGGATAGGATTTCCCCCATTGAGGTAGCTGCAAACCAAGGCAACATATTTCCCCAGACTGCTTACTGAAGTCAAACCCTGATACATGTTCCTGGTCAAAACAGGGCCTTGTTTCTTGGGGTGCTCAGCCAGAGCATGCACTGGTACTCAATGGCAGATTTCCTTTCCCATCAAGGGGGCACCCATGGAGATGCTTTATTGCTTTGCAGCAGCCTTTGGCCCTGAATTTCATCACCAGAATTGCAAAGAAAAAGAGAGTTCCCAGGTAGGCCAATGGAGGAAGAGCCTGTTTGGAGAAGGATGTGCTTGTACAAAGGCTCAGATGCACAGATTCTCATTTATTCAACATTCAGTGAGCGTGACTAGCCAGTGGTGAGGCAGACTAGCCTTGCTGTCCTGGAGTGGAGTTCTTGTTCAGGAGAGAGATAGTTACTGAGAAATACAGGATATAGCAAAGCCTATGGAGAAAAAGGCAGCGGAAGGTGCATGAAGAATGCCCCGGGTCAGGCAGGGGTGCAGGCGCTCTTTCACATGAACACAAGATAGTTGGACTGAAAAGACCTGAAGCAGGCAGGGAGTCAGCTGCAGACCTGAAGGAAGAACACCACAGGCCGAAGAAGCAGGGATGGCACAGACTGGGCTTTGGGAACAGCGGTAGGGGATGGGCATGGTAAGGAGGTAACAGGTCAGTGGTGTAGGCCAGATCCAAAGACCCTCAGCTCAGGGATTTTGTGAGGGCTTTGCCATTAGTTCTGAATGACACAGAGAACTGGGGACAGTCTCTGACTTGTCAACTTAAAAGGAGTCACCTGGCTGCTGGCTGGAACCAGACCAGACTGAAGGAAGGACTCAGTGTGGAAGCAGCTGTGTCACAGGAAGCTTGCCTGGGGCTCAACAGTGCCACGGGAAAATGGCCAGGTTCTGGGTCTCATCTGGCAGCAGAGCCAGTAGGATTGCCGAGGAGACAGGTGTGGGTAGAGTGAAAGAAGTGGTAAGGGTAACCAGAAGATCTTTGTCCAGGGAATGGAGGCTGGGGCTATATTTTCTCCAGCAGTTGCGGAGGAAACTGAGTTTGTTTCTGTACCTGATGAGGTTTTGAATGAAGATACTGAGAAGGGAGAAAGTGGCAGCTGGAGCTGCAAATGTGGCAGTCATGCCTGTGTAGAAAGCAGTAAAAGCTATGGACAGGTCACCTGCAGGGCTGGACAGAGAGGAGCAATCTGAGGGCTGAGCCCTGAGACTGAGCTACGATTAGAGGCTGGGGCAATGAGGAGGAACTGGCAAAGAAACTTCTGGAAGGAGCACTCACTGTAAAGAGAGCAGTTTCTCAGAGCCTTGTCAGTTGCTTCTGGGAAGTTAAGGAAGACAAGGATGGAGAAGAATTCCTGGGTTTAGAATCAGCTGCTGGAAGCTATCAGTGGTTTTGACAGAAGCTATTGTAACAGTGGTTGGGGGCAAAAGATTAGGTTTCAGAAAAAAGGGAAGTATGTGGGTGAGGCAAGTAGAGACAACCTTTTTGAAAAGTCTAGGTTTTGAGATGAGCAAGCCAATGACAGATGGCTGTTAGGGGGCTCTGGTTTCAGATTTTAGTCGTAGAGGAGGAAGGACAGCTGGCTGGTACGTGATGGGACTGTCCCTTCAAGGAAGGAAGAACTGGTGATATGGGGGCTGGGGAAGAGATGAGTGTTGAAGCCTCACTGGTGGAAGAGAGGAAGGACAAGAGCTGCTGCCAGGAGCGAAGACAGTAGAAAAAGAGAGGTCACATTTCTCTTTTGACCTAAAGTTCAGGCTAAGCCAGTGGGGGCTGGTGGGACCAGGACCTCTTGACCTGACCTTCCTCAGTCAGAGTGAGTTTGGGCCCCTCTGTGGCCTAAGGTGTGTCTCAGCTCCCCTTCTTAGACCACGATTCATTCAAGGGATTGGAGCAGGGACTCAGAGGACCATGAGCCTGGCAGTTTAGTCCTACGTCAGACTCCCACTTGCTGTATGACTTAAGTGTGTCACTTCCCTTCTCTGGACCACACTTCTGTGATTTCCTCCATCTGGGTGTGTGACTAGATCTAACCTGATCGGTAGATTGCTCCACAAGGTGGAGCTCTTAGTTTGTTTTTAATGACTATCTCCATCAAACATATGTCAAATTTGCCCTAAGAACACCCAAAGGGCATATTTCACAACCTGAGTTTTGAATGCTATTTCATACTCTTAACAGGCTCATTCATTCATTTAAAAAGCACAGACTGAGGCAGATGCTGTGTTAGGGACTTTGATCATAGCATGAACAATGCCTAACATCCTCCTCCTGTCCCATGAGGTGACAGGCATGAAGTGGGTGCTCTCCGGGAGAGGTACATGCTCAGAAGGAATCAGCATAAAACTGAAGAGTCAGTCTGGGGAGATTCCACGGGCAGTGACAGCAGAGCTAGAGCTAATGTGACAAAGATGGCATGGCTGGGAAGAACCTTATGGGCCTAGGCCACCGTATGTGCAAAGGCCTGGCAGGGGGAAGAGACCGGGAATCTAAGAACCACAAAGCAGGGAGAATTTGGGACATTCTAGTAGAGGTTTTAGGCATTTAGATATAGACATGCAGATTTGAGGGGCAATTGACCACATAAGCTAGCAGAAGCTATAGCTGAGGTAAGATTTCTAGAGAGTGTGGAGAGGGATGAGGCAAAGGTCTGCCTAGGATTTCGGCTCAAGGTGCCTCAGCCAAAGTCGGTATCCTGCCATCCATATACCTAGGGTTTCTCTCTTCCTCCCACTTGTTTGAGGTCTGCTGGTTTGAGGTCTAGCCTTTGATTCACCTCTGTGCCTGTGTGCTCTCACCTGGAGCCTGCTTCTTGGTAAGCTGTTGCCTGCCCATAGTAGAGGACACTCTGACCTCATCCCCTCTTGAGGGTTGTGACAGACAGGGGTCCCCAGGGCCGCTCTACCCTTTGTCTCTCTAGAGGAGTTTTTTGTCAGTTTGTACCTTGAGCCTCTGTCCTCTCTGCCTGGGATGCTCTTCTTTTTTTTTTTTTTTTTTTTTTTTTTCTGGGATTACAGGCGTGATCCAGCTACTTTTTTCATTTCTGGTTGCACTAATTAAAGTTGTTTCTCCTTTTTTTTTTTTTTTTTGGTTTATGTTCATTAATTTATAAAATCACAAAGATTGAAACATTGGTTCAGAATTTATATCATTGCTTCTCAAGCCAGTGCTCCAAGTAGGATGCTCTTCTGTTCCCTGTTGACTTGGCAAACTCCTGCTTGTCTTTCTAGACCTACTCAGCACTTGTCCCAAGCCTAGGTAACTTTCTCCAGGTCTGGAGTGCGCCCCCCCCCCCATCTTCCCCACAGGGCTGTTGTCTAGGTAACCTTGTTTCCACATGCTGTGACCTAGCTTAGTGGAGTTGGCCGCAAACTGAATTACACTACTTTGCTCTTTTCCTCCTCAGTTCATGCCCAGTACGGATCCTTTCCAGAAGGCCCTGAGGGAAGAAGAGAAACGCAGGAAGAAAGAGGAGAAGCGGAAAGAGATCCGCAAAGGTCCAAGGATCTCCCGGTCGAAGTCTGAGTTGTAGCCCTGGAGCAGCTCAGGAACCAAGGGGCCAGTGAGAGATCCAGTTGGGAGGAAGAAATGCCATGTGGTGCTGCTGTGGCAGTGTCCACTGTGGTGGTGAGCACTGGCCCCAGCATTTGAAGAGCATCTGGAAAGATAGGGACTCCATATTTGCTGTGTCCTCAGGAGCCAAAAAGACTGCAGCTCAGGTAGCTGGATTTCCTGCCAGAGCCTGTCTGGAGGGGACGTGGAAGGAACCTTTAGAAGACTGTGCTGCAGGCAGGACCCTATAGAGACTGCTGGGGGAGGAAGGAGGACATCCTGGACTCTCTGTGGGTGAGGGCCACTGGCTGGCTTTTGCCACCCTTTGGAAAAGCAGCAGAACCAGGCTCTGAGTCACAGGTAAAGGTGCTATGCCTATAGGTGGTTGCATTGTGTCACTGAACTACTCAGCAGCTCAGGGCCCAACCTTTCTTGAGAAACACAATAAAGGCGAGCAAACCTGTTGGGCCCGCCAAAGCTGGTGTGCGGGATGTAAGGGAAGCAGGAGCCTTGGGAGTGAATGTGCAGAGCAGTTTGGAGGATGTTCCCGCCTGATCCTGAGGAGTCTAGGTCTGGCGGAGTAGAGAAGCAGGGGTTTGGCTTGGACTTTTTCCATCTGAGCACGTCCCTTGACCAGGGATCGGCTTTGAGAGAGGGCCTAGAAGTGTCCCAGGAGTGTGTTTAGTCATCTGGGAGACCTTGGATAGCTGGGAACAGTCACTGAGCAGCATGGAGTGGTTAGCAGATCAGGGAAGTCCTTCGACCTGTGGCTGCAGGGGCTGTACTTTGCAATGGCAGGCCTGCCTTGAGCCAGTTTGATCAGACAGCAAGCTCCCCATCTCAGGAGCAGTGTGAGAAGAATCCTCCAGCATGAGGCAGGGAAGCTGCAGAACTGGTTAAGCACCAAGTGGGCAGCCTGGTTTCTGTGGCTCTGCCTTCCCTTGACATAGGAGAGGAGGCTGCTGCCCTTCAGTCTAGCCTTTCCTAAATAAAGGCGAGAAGGGTTACAGTAGGGATTCTACCTCTGCCTCTTTGACCTGTCAAGCCAGGGTCTGCCTCTTAAATGGGCAGAGGGACACACCCATCCCCAGTGCTGTCTACACCCAGCTCCCACCTCTGATACCAGCTTGTGCCGGTAGCTTTAGTGGCAAACGAATTTGATGTCTGGACCCTCTGCCTGGCCCTAACTTGTTTTTTCATATGTGCTCCCTACCCTTGGTACTGGGAATTGAACTCTGCGCCTTTTCCCTGAGTTGTATGTCCATCCCTTTTATTTATTTATTTTTATTTTGAGCAGGGTCTTTTGCTAAGTTGCTCATGATGGGCTTGAACTTACAATTCTCCTGCCTCAGTCTTCCAGAGTGCTGGGATTACAGGTATACCTGGTTCTAACCTGCTTTCTTGAAGCTGACTTCCTTGTTGGGCAGTACAACAAAGAGAATCTAGGCCTTGGGGGGATCTTATGGAAGGATATATGAAACATCCTGCACCTTATCAGTCACTCTGGAGAAGTAAGGGGATAAGAAGCAGCTGGAGGAGAACTGGGAGGAGGTCTATCCACCCTTTCCGGTCAGAACTGCCCACCAGCCCCATTTCCCCCTGCTGGACAAGGGAGGTGGTGCTGGGTAGTGACAGGCTTCTTCACTTGAGAGAGCTGGGCTCCGTGCTTGGGACTTGTGCCTTCAGCCATTCCTGTGAGTGTTACAGGAGATTGCTGTGCTAGTTCGTGAGCTAAAGGGCTATAGAAAGGGAGGGATCAGGACCTTTCTGTCAAGTGTTTAGCTGTCCAGTTGTCTGCAGGTGAGACTGTGGTCAGCAGCCCCAAGGCTCCTCCCTGGCCCTCTCTTGGAGGACAGTGATTGTGGCTGCTGACTAAAGGGAAGGTGTTTCCTCCCTTAACGGAGAAAGAACTTTTCTAAGAACCATGCCTGCTTTGCGTGGACCAGGGTTTCTTGGCAATGGTAGGAGGCCAAAGGATGCCTCAGGACAGTGCAGAGGTAGTTCCAGCTTTGGGTAGGTAAGTAATCCATTAAGTGATTTCTAGGGATTGTCATCAGCAGGACTTCAGAGAGGTGAAGAAGGCTCTTCCCTTGCTCTTGTCACTGCAGCAGTCCCTTTCCACACAGGTCATTGGGTCCCTATCTCAGAGTGCTCAGGTACTTGAGAGGATAAGAGCCTGTAGAAAAGTCCCTCGTAGTTGCAGTGCTGGGAATTTAAATGGCTTCTCAGCCACAGGTGCCCTTCTCTAACAGTTCTTTGTTCAACCCGTAGATTTGTTGAGTACCTACTGTGTCCCTCTCTTGGAGTGTGGCCCTCCTTCCTCCTGGGCTTTTCCCTATACACCTTCCACCTTTCCGCTGGCTGGTCTTGTCCTCCGCCTTAGGTGAGCTCATTATTTCCCATCTGCCACCTTCCAAGAAACAAGCAGCCATTGTTAGTCCCCTCTCTTGTCTCTGTTATGGTTGGTCATTTGTCCTGGGAACCCCATTTTATGAGCCTTATGCAGGCAAAGGGCTCCTCTCACCCCAGAGGATTTAAAGGCCTGAGGGCACTTGTTTGTCCAGTTGCCTGCAGCTAGAATTCATTTATCTGACTGAACCTCCACCCACTGTATGAATGCATCCAGCCAGTGTGGTTCTTGGTGGCTTTTGTGGCCACAGGTCCCAGGGGTAGCAGTGGGAGGTGGTTCTAGTAGCCAGTCCAATAACCAGTGCTAGAAGTGCTCAATGATGGCAACAAATATTGTCACTGTGGTCTGGGACATTATTACAGTCTGATAAGTTTCCAGGCCCAGTCTGTGGGACCCCTAGGAAATCTGGAAGCCCCCTAATATTCTTTAAGGCAGATTTTCTCAACAATAGCACTATTCTGTTGTAGGTCAGATAACTATTGTTTGTGAGGAGGGCTGTCCTGAGTGATACAGGATATTTAGCAGCACCTGGAGTTATTCCAAGTAAAAATGTCTCCTGATGTTTCTTGGGGGCAAATCCCCCCTGGCCCACAGCCTTTCTCCCTCCCAGCCTCAGTCTTGCTCTGCTGTCCACAACCCTTGCCCTTGGAGGGATGGTATTGACAGCTCGTGGACTAACTGTCCTGGTGTTTTGCCCTCAATCTCTGTTTTATCTCTTCCTGACTCCTCTTTCTTACCTTTTTGGCAGCCAAGAGCGGTGGTCACACTTGTAATCACAGCACTCAGGGGCTGAAGCAGGAAGATCTCCAGTTGAAGCCTAGCCTGGGCAAATTAGCAACTTGATGAGATCCTTTCTCCAAATAAAAATGAAAAAGAGTTGTGGATATAGCTCAGGACAAAGCGCCGTCACCAGTACTGTGAAAAAATAAAGCTTGGCCTCAATGCTGTGTTTTGGCTCTCTTGTTCTTGGACAGCCATTTCCTCTTAAGATCTCAAAGTGAACGGCCCTGCCCTGTCATCATCCGATCACTCCCTGCTTAGCCTTCAGTGCATCCCAAACCAAACTTGTTATTTCCTGCCCTTTAACCCAGCCTCTTTGTTCAAACTCAGCCCATCAAGGAGTCTTCCTGGAAGAACTGATAACTAAACTGAGTCCTAAAAAATCAGGGGTGGGGGCCAGGGAGATGGCTCAATGGAATAAGTGCTTCCCTGGCAAATGCAGGGACCTGAGTTCAATCCCCAGTTGGGGGGGGGGCGTAAAAAAAGAGGAGGGAGAAGGGGACAGGGCACTGGGAGCCAAGGTTCCAAAGGGAGGTGTCAGTGTGTGTGATTTCCCAAGACCTGTAGCAGTGCTAGATCCATCACATAGATTTTGACAAAAGTGGTCACCTAGTCCAGTCCCTCCCTTTTCAGGTGAAGAACTTGAGTCCTGACATCAACAGCTGTTCCACCTCACAGAGCCAAGCCTCTGTGCTCCCAGCCAGAGCAAGGTGCCAGCTGAAAGAGATGTTCAGTCAGTTCAGTCTTACTGAGCTTCAGATCCACTGCTGTGCTTCTCCTGAGCCTTCAGTTTTGCCCCCTCAGGCCACTTGGACAGGCACCAAGGCCTCTGAGCAGGTCTGCTGGAGCCATGAACAGCTGCCAAGTGGGAAATCCTGTGCCCAACTCAGCCTTTTGGTGCCCACGGAAGCCCCCAGATCCAGTGGGAAGATGCTAGATCAAAATGATTGTTTGGGGGTCCTGGCAGAGGGGCAGACAAACAGTAGCCATCACTGCGGGGAGCTATGACAGCCACCAAGAGCCACAGGCGAAGATGGCACTGCCCAGTTTGGTGCTAGGTCCAGAACAATGCAGCTGAGTTAGAGTGTGGTTTTCTCTTTCTTAGTGTGAACAACAAAGAGCATTCTTGTTCTGCTTTCCCCGCAAAGACAATACATTTCTCAATAGCATAAATGCTCATCCTAAAAAGTAATTCAGGCAATGATATAATATCAGGAAAAGGAACAATCCACCCCACATCCCCCCACTCCCACAGGAACAACTGACAGCCAGCTGTTGGACCTTGCTTAGTCTTTTGATTGTAGTTGGCACATTATACCGCATCTTACTGCACGCCCGACCTTTGCCACATGCTGGTTGGTGGCAACCTGCCTCAAGGCTTTTATCCATATTATCTGATCCCCTGGCTATACCACTGGGAGTTCCTTCCTTGTTGTAGATTTCACTTTTAAATGCCACTTTCCAACTGGGAGTCTTGCATATGTTAGGCAAACTATACCACTAAGCTACACCTGCCACCAAAGTCTTGACTTCACAAGTCGGGTCCCATTACTTTTCATTGGTCATTTGAACCATCATCTGATGTTTTTGTTTATTGTTCCCCCCCACAGGCTGGATGTTAACAGGGCAGGAACTGTTTATCCGCCAAAAACGTTCAATAAATGTCAAACATGCATATGATTTCATGTAATCTTCACAACTATGAAGAGTACTGTTTTTATCTCCATTTTATGTTACTTTATTTGGGGTCTCATCCATGATTCGGCTGCAGCCTCCAGAATAGTGTGATTACAGCGTACCCCACACTCAGCTTTCATTTCCATTTTAAAGGTTAAAGTTTCTTAAGGAGTTCAAGGCTACACGGTAACTTTAGGCAGGTGTGCTTTAAGTCCTGCCTGACCCCCTAGGCAACATTTACCTCTCAGACTCGCAGGAAACTTACTTTTTGACCTGGGGCAGAGGATGATACTGGAGATTGAATTTAGGTTCTTCACACTAAGCTATACCCTTAGTCCTTTTGTTCTTTTATAAAGTTTTGTAATCTTTGATTTATTTGATACAGGGTCTTGCTACACAGCTTGGACTCGTAGTGATCCTCCTCAGCCTCCACAGTGCTGGGATTATAGGTGTGCACCACCATGTGCGATTTTGGGGGCTGACACTGTGCACCCAGGGTTCCGGGGATCAAACCCGGGTCGTTTTGCTTGCCAAGCAGGCGCTTAAGACTACCAAGCCGTCTTCCCAGCCCCTCCCCTTAGTCCTTTGTAAAAAAAAATTTCAGACGGGATCTTACTAAATAGCTAAATTGCCCAGGCTGGGCTCAAAGCTATGATTCTGCTTCTACAGTGCTGGGATTACAGGCGACATTTGTTTTTTTGACATGTTATGAAAGCCTTTTCTTCTCATTTATGTACTTTGTTCTTTCTTTTGTTACCAGGGTTGGAACCCAGAGCCTTGTAAACACTAAACTGCTTTGGCACTGCTGAGCTATGTGCCCTCAGCCCTATGTCTATAATTTTTAATGTTCATGGAGTCGCATTATGTGGATATAATTTATCAGTGCCTTACTGAACTTTGCAATTTTTCTCAGTTACGTCTTTGAACATCCGTATTTATTTCCACATTTCTTTGAACAGTCCTCTTATTTCTCAGAATAGGTTCTTGGAAGTTTGCACCTTTGCACAATGTGACCAGCTCCAAGAAGCCTCCTGAGTGAGGCGCCTGAAGAAGTGAGAATCCGGGCGTAGACTGGGCCTCAGGATCCCCGTGGAACTCTTCCCAAGCCCTGGGTGCTTGGCAGCTGCTTAAAGCCCCCAGAGGTCCTGCGGTTCCCAAGACTGAGGTCCACTAAGTGCAAGAGCGTGGTCGCGGCAGAGGCGCTGAAGTTGGGAATGTTAGCTGCACTTGGACAATTCGTGCCCTCTCTTGTGTTTATTTTTGCCTTTTTAAGAGGGCTGGTAGGAGCGTGACTTAGTGGGTCTCCACAATGTTAAGGGCTAAATTTGACTCTACCCACAACGACTGGCAGGCAGAGCAGCGGGTGAGGGAGAGGCAGCTGGGAAGATGACGTAATGTATTCTCGGCTACTACTAGGGGCGACCGGCGTTGCTGGGGGACGGCGGCTCTTTAACCCTTCAATCCCAGGTCCCTGGGTTAAGTCGTTTGTGGACTAGATCCAACCCAAAGGGGAGCGGCTCCTTTAAATTAAGCGTAGGAGGCTGGGCTGAGGACCCAGCGGCTACTTGCCTCATTCGTTCCGAGGCTGCGATGGGTGGGGCTTCTCTATGCAAATCTAAGCTGCTGATCGATGACGCACTATCACCCCACGCGCCGCTTCACTCGCCTATTGGCTAATACTGGCCTGGTCCCATTGACAACAAACACGGGGACGCACCGCCTGGGGGCGGTACCACAGAGGGCGAGGGCTGGGAAGGGGGAATCCCGCCCCGCCCCTTCCGCGCTGCGCCGGGGCGCAGCGCAAATATGGCGGCGGCTGGCACGGGCCGGTGAGGCGGTACCGGGCGGAGGCTTTAGGGTGTCATGGGCTGTGGCGGCGGCACCGCCCCCGCGTCTCCCTGAGCGGGGCGGCATCGGGTGGCCTCAGCGCTGAACCGGGAGATGGACGAGAGCGGTGAGCTGGGCGGTCTAGAGACCATGGAGACCCTCACGGAGCTGGGTGACGAGCTGACCCTGGGGGACATCGACGGTGAGTGGTGGGTGGGTGGGCGGGCGGGAGTGCAAAGGGCGCGCGGAGAGGAAGGGGTTACGGCGTTGCGCGCCGGTGCGCGTGCGCCCACCCTGTCAGGGTAAGGCTCGCGCGGGAACCCCGCGCAGCCGGTCGCTCCGGTGATCCCCAGCCTTTCCGGCGTGACGGCCAAGAGGCCCGGGCACTGGGCTCCGGTAGGCTGTGGCGTGGGGCACAGCCGGGCCGGAAGCGAAGAACGGGGCTGGAGGCGGCGGAGGAAGCGGCCTTGGAGAGGAGCGCGCGGCCGCCGCCTTCCTCTCGCGCCCACATGCGCTGTCCGCCGCCCCGCTCACCTGTCACTCCGTGTCCGGCCACCGGAGCGGCTTCGGAATTTCCCGGCAGGGTCTTGGATTGGGCGCCCCCATCCTAGTCCTTTCGGGATTGACCGAGGGCCGGGCGGGGGGGTGGCTAGGCACCCCGGGAAACTTTGGGCAGGAGCTGCAGGAAGCGAGTTGCTGATGAAGCGAGCGGTGGCGGCGGAGCGTGGACGCGTCTCTCGGGATGGAGACACGGGCACTCTTGCTGTTGCGCTGGAAAGAGTTGAGCAGCAGGAATTTTGAGTGGTGGCCCCCGGTGTACAAACTGGGGAGCAAGTGGCTTTTGTTCTGTCGCGTTTAACAGCGGGGTGGAAGAGGATCCTCTCTTGAAAAGCTTTTCATTTTTTGGCCCCAGGAATCAAGGTTTGCAGAGGGTCCTCCTTGGCCAAGGTTGCAAGGCTGGTTGCAGAGCCGAGTTCCTCAGGATTGGTTTCTTTCCACCCTACTTTGGGGATTCTGAGTCCAGTGAATCTTAATAATAACTAGTAAACTTAATAATAACTTGTAATAATTGAACTCTTCTGATATTATAGGCCCAAATATTTTGTCTCATTTTGCTTATGCCTGACAACAATCCTGTGAGACAGGCACTCTTACTACTCGTATTTTACAGATGATCTCTTAGGTCACTGACCTTAGTCCACAACGCATGTTCTCAAGCAATAATTCAGGAGCATTGTGCTTTTTAGTTACAAAGTGTTCTTATATCTAGGTTCTCACTAGAGTCTGGCAGGCAGATAGGATGACTAACATTCCCATTTTAAAGGTAGAGAAATAGGCAACATAATTTTTCTTTTTGGAGAAAGAGTCTTTCCATTTGGATCATCTAGGCAGTATCTCACTTTTGACCACAGATTTCTACATCCAAGACCTTCTAAGTATAGAGATGGGTTAACAAATCTAGGGGAGGGGATATAACAAAGGAAGCTAATATATGTTGGTCACTCATGTGCCAGGCATTGTGTTAAACCCCTGTATATTGTGTGTGTTATGGTGGTAGGGTCTGGGGGAACGACAGTGAGATTAAACCTAGGGCCTTCCCTCCAGCTCTATTTTTTGAGTTAGGGTCTTGTTAAGTTACTGATTTTCAATTTGCAGTCCTCCTGTCTCAGCCTCCCTGAGTGCTGGAATGAATAATAGATGTGAGTTACCACACCCAGTTCATTTATGCACAGCAATACTGTATTTTCAGTCCCCTTAAGAATCCTATCAGGTAGACATGACTGTTAACACAGGGCATCTCTCTCACACATTTTCTTTCTTGAGATAAAGTCTTACTATGCAGTTCAGACTTACCTTGAACTCACTACATGGCCTCTAATTTGTGTGGCACTCCTGCCTCAGCCTCCCATGTGCTGGGCTTGCAGGCGTGCATGCACTGTGCCTGAATATCACAGATTTTGAAATAGAGGCCCATTGCTGTTCATTAACTTACCCAGGCTACACAGCCGGAATATCCAAAGCAAAGACACAAAAATACATGTAATTTTATACTTTTATTCCATAATTGATTCTTGTTTGTCTTAATTTATAATGTGTTTGTTTACCATATGGTGAATACTAAGTTTGTCCCCAGAGATTGCTAGACAAAGTGTATAGTCTTGAAACTATCACAGTGGTTCAGTGGTTTCACCCGTCCTGGTACCAGCTTTGGAAAATATTCCTATCTTCGGTTGGTGAACTAGAACCAAGTGTCTGTAATCCCAGCACTCTAGGAGGCTGAAGCTGAAGGTTAATGAATTCCAGCCTATCCTTGGCAACTGAGCCAAAATCCTTGCAAAATGTAGAAAGCCTTGCTCAGTTGGGAGTGCCCTAGGTTCAATACCTAGTACTCAAGGAAAAAAGAAAGAAAGAAAGAAAGAGTAGTTAGGGCCTGGGAGATAGCTCAGTAGAATAACAGGGTCCTAAATTCAATCCTTGGTACTGAAAAGAGAGAGAGAGAGAGTAGTTAGCAAGTATGTAAGTTTTGGCCATGGTGTTTGAGTGCTGGGGAAGCATGAAAAAATAGGAAGACAGGATTTTATGGCTGTATGGATTTGAGATGAGTAACAAACAATAGTGCTAGGTATATGACAGTTTAGAGTTGCACAGCACACTAAGTGAAAGTCTTTGGTGACCCCTTGGTTTACCAGGAAATCTACACCGAAAAGGGCCCTTAACCTGAATCTTAAGGTCTCTAGTGCAGCTAAGAAGGGCTGAACAGGCTGGAGGCCAGTGGTCTGTAGATACAAGTATCCCTAGAGAGTTGCCCATCTGTTCTCCCTCAGGAATGTTAGTGCAGTGAGGCAGGGACTTTCCTTTTGTAACTAAAACAGGGCCTGACAATGAGAGTGCTTACTGTTTGTGGAATGCCTAAATGCATACAGTGACCTTGGGCTGTGCAGGCTGTCAAATTGTAGTAGACTTAGTCTTCCTGGTAGATTGCCTCAGAGGTAGCCAGCCCAGATGCATCTAGCTGCCAGTCTGATCAGGAAGGAGGAGACTTGTGTGAATATATTTACTTCCTTAGTGTGTGAATGGTGAGGATAAGAGTACTTGCAACCTAGAAATCAAGTTCCTGCATCCAGGAGACACAGACAGGGAGGCAACCTTAATTCTGTCTGCTCCAACTCATTGGTTCCCTTTGGGACTATGGGTCCAAGGTGGACACCTTTATTCACTCATTTGGCACATCTCTCATGGCATTCAAATACCTCTGTGGTAGATATAGTGCAAAGGGTACCTTTGAAGAAGACAGACAAGGTCTCCCTCACAGAGCTTAAATTCTTCATGAGAAAACAAACTATAGAAAATAAACGAGCAATTTTAGCAGGGCACTATGAAAATAAAATGAAGCCATATTATAGAGTGGCCTACTCTCAGGATTCTAGGAATCCCTCTTTGAAGAAGTGTCATGTATTTCAGAAAATGCTAAATCAGGGTTTTCACGTGCAATTTCCAAATTTTTAAACATTGGCTCAGTTTTTTTTTTTTTTTTTAAACATACTGTGGGCACCCAACAAAGTATGCATACTAGTTGCTTTCCAGGCCTTTGTTTTGCTCCAAAATGTTTTACTTGGATGTGAGGGCGATCTGGCTGCGACATCTGTCACCCCATTGATCGCCAGGGTTGATTCGGCTGATCTGGCTGGCTAGGCGGGTGTCCCCTTCCTCCCTCAACAATCCATGTGCGTCCCTCCCGAAGCTGCGCGCTCGGTCGAAGAGGACGACCACCCCCGATAGAGGAGGACCGTTCCTCGGTCAAGGGTATACGAGTAGCTGCGCTCCCCTGCTAGAACCTCCAAACAAGCTCTCAAAATGTTTTACTTTCCCAGTCCCCAAAGTCTCACTTGATAGAATAGCTACACTACTTTTGTGGGGTATACTTTTGTAGTCTGAAGAAGGCCTTTACATCGTCTCTTCTGCAAGGGCAGGTTAAGATCCACTTCTGCTGTGACCAGGAAACACAAGGTCAAAAAAACAACCTTTGGCTGGGGCCTAAAGGATGGGTGACAGGAGCAGCATGACAAACATGGAAAGAAAGGGACCAGAGGACATTAGGAGTAAAAGATGGCTAGTGGAGGATAGTGGCACAAACCTGTACTCCCAGTACTGTGAGAGGCCAAGGCAGGAGGATCCAACTTCTCAAATCTGATCTCATATTTGAACAGATTAAAAGGGCTGTGGCTCTGGGTTCAACCTCTGGTACCTTGATGTAAAGATGAATGGATGGATGGATGACTAAATGAATGACTGCTAGAGATTTCTTAGAATCTGGTACTCTAAGAAGATAGTAGGAAAAAAAAAAGAAAATAATAGAAGATGAAGTCTGTGAGATGAGCTGGAACCAAACTGTGCTGCAGATGCAGGTGTTGCGTGGAATGTGGGGAGGGAATTGCTGAACATTTTCAAGTAGAGGGATGACCCATTAATCGTGGGTCTTAAGAAAATTCATGTATACTGATAGGCAGGAGAGCTAGTTGGTGCCAGGGACACCAAAGAGGACAAAGCTACAGCTGCCCAGGTAGGAGGTAATGGTCTCACAGGAGCTGGCCCTGCAGGCAGAGCATAGGTGGAATTCTAAGGCTTCACTAAGACTGAGCCTAGGGCTTAAGGAGAGAGTTCCCAAGGCAGCTGGAAGGCCTAGCTTGGGGAGAAGGTGAAAATGTGTCTTAAATGGGCTGAAACTGAGGCAGGGCAGTATCATCCAGTAGGAAATGTGAGGCACGTAGTCAAGAGAAGGTCAGAACTGCAATAGAGATCAGGGTTGTTACTACTGGTGAGTTAAGATAGAAATGAGAACTAGGAGTTTTGGAGTAAGGAAATTGTTTTTTTTTTAAATTTTTTTTTT